GTCCTTGCACTCGTTCCATCTTCAACATTCCTTTAAACAAAGAATTCTATTTGTTTGGTTCCGACATTCAGGTAGATAAGGGAACAAGCCCTTCTCACTTGATCTGTGCATACAAGTCACACTTACATTAATGAGTTATATATGGTGTGGCAGGGATGAAAAATCCATATGACATGAATTTTTTCTTTTCCTGTTGAAAATTTTCCTGTTTAGAAATGTGCATGAACTTAGATGATTTCTCCAGACGGCAGGGAGGCTGAGCCTGGATCTTCTGTAAAGTGAAGTCTGTGCTCGGGAATGGTGTCAGGGATCCCCACAGCCCTCTGGGCTACCACCTCCTGAAATAAGAAGCAGACAGATACCCTCAACACAGCCCTCCGAGGGGCCCGCACTGTAGAACCAGCCACCATTGAAACGTAGCCCAGCCTCCTTAAACTAAATCCTCTATCTCTTTACTCGGCCTGCCAACCAGAGCGCCAATTAGTGCCAATAATAATAGACATATTAACGGATATCTAGACCACAGTCACCAAAACACAAGAGACTCTTGACAGGGAGGCCTTCCTCCATGTCATCATTTAGCATACCTACTGGGTACATGGCAAGAAATTTTTGCAATCCCCTCATTTACATCTGCCCTGCACACTGTAGAATCTTCATGTGATTTTAAACTGTCATTTAGTGGGGTAGATTGGCAAAAATGATCCTGTCACCACCAGATGTGTTTTTAAATGAGGTCTTGGTTGAAGTCTGCTTTAGTTTTTGAAAATCAGCCTTCTTGAGTTTTATATTCTTCTCGGATTATAACCGTTCCACCTCTCCTGCCACTTTAAAAACTGTCAGTGTTTTTACTGTAAACACTCTATTGAGGATTTTCAAGGCAACTACAAAAATGTATGCCGAGAAAAAATCTGAAATCTAACATCATGCCACCCATGAATTATTTGCACAATTTCATTTAAATCATTCTGACTAGACATTTTTGGAACAATTTAAGAGGAAAATTTTTAAATTGTTTCCCTTTTGTTTTTTTTAATCTTTGATTTAAGAGGAAATTTCTAAAATTTAAGAGTTTATTTCTGAATTTTACCCATATACTAATAGGGTAAAAAATTTGCAGCACATATAACATATTTCTCTAATGACATTTCTCCTTTTTAAAATCAGAGTTCAGGAGAAAACCACTCTAATGTCTGTGTAACATATATCATGGAACAGCTAATGGGCTTTATCCATGATAAAATTAGTCCATCCTTTCAAAGTCCCCGTGTGTGAGTTTTTTTCAAATAAAAGTCTGCTCACATTAAGAGTGCTTTTTTCTGATGCTTTGCAGTCTTGATTCTGATTTGTAGTCTTCACACTTAAAAATTTAAATCCACAGCTCAAGGATTTCTGGCAACCAGAAAGTTGGTGGCTGGGTTGTTCTGAAAAGATGGTTTATGGGCATGTTCTGATTTTGTCATTGAGAAGAGTTGATCAGGATGGTTGTAATTCACAAGTGATCTATATTGGGGGTAGGGGGTGGGAGAGCTTTACCCATCACAGGTGCTAACAGCACTGCTGAGAAGTGGAGCCAGAGTTTGCAACTGGAATAATCCCCTTTCATTGTATGCTCTAGCCATTCATTCACTCAGATAATTTGTGGATATTGTTCTGTGCCAGGGTGTGATCTGGGTGCTAGGAGAACTAAGGTCTCTGTCTGCATGGGGACAGACATTTTATCTTCACATTTAGTGGGAGGAGGCAATCAATAATCAAACAAGATGATTGCAGAGTATGTAAGTGTCAGAGAAGTTTCAGCAAGTAGGTTGATGTGATCAGGAGTTACAAAGAGGAGAGACTGGTCAGGACAGGCCTTCTGAGAAGAGGCCATTTGAGCTGAGATCTGAAGGATGAAAAGGAACCAACTATGTGAGAGTCCAGAGGAAGCACTTTCCAGACAGAGAAATCTGCAATTGCAAAGAACCACAGTCTAGAAAAGGATTGGCAGGTTCAAGGAGGAGCGGGTAGGCTTTGACCCGTAGGCATGGAGAGCAGGGAGAGAGCATTGAGAGATAAAGCAGTGGGGTAGAGGCCGACTCCTGCAAGCTCTTATAGACCATGCTAAGAGTTTGCATTTTATTATAAGTGCAGCAGAAGACATTGCAAGAGTTAAAACAGAGCAACGTCACCACCTAATACCTTTAACAAAGAATATTCTAGCAGTTCTCTGAAAAACAGACTGGAAGAAATAGAAGCAGGAAGCCCATTTAGTCACCCTAGTGGACAATAATGGTGGTCCAGTCAGAGCAGTGGTCCTGGAGCAGAAGAAAAATGGTCTCTCGAGTCAGTCCCTTAGATATAAAACTGACAAGGTTTGCTCATGAATTAGCTGTCCTGGGAATGGGGAAGCTTTATATAGCCAGAGTCAGGCAGCGGAAAGGGGTGAAATTAGAAATTTAGGTTGGAAAGGGAGATGTTGACCACCACGAAGTTTGATCTTCAACCTGAAATCCACAAGGAGGTTCTGCAGAGAACGGTTCTTTCTTCTTGCGCCTTGGCATCATTGTGATCATTTTCTTTTGTTAAATAAGTATTCATAAGAATAAACTTGCCACTCATCCACTTTACCAAGATTTACACATGATGCAATCTTATTAAACAAATCATCGATAGAGAGAGAGACAGACACTCATTATACACCCAGCTCAACCCATATTCTGGCTGTCTTCCCTCTCTCGCCTCAGCTGCCGGTGGCAAACAAAATCACTTAAGTCAAGTGAACAGTTTTAAATGTATAATATTAAAATGTGTTTTTAAAAACTCCTTGGAACCCTGAGCCATTGTTAAAATACACTGACTTTGACGGATGCTTTGGCACTTTTTTTTGTGAGGCTTTTCAATGCATTACCTTATCGGGTGCATGAGATTTAGTCTGTTCTGCGGAAGAAGACAGACACAAAGGGTCTCTCAGCACGAGTTACTCTTCTGTAAAGGTTATAGTAAACATGTCAATGCCTAATTAAGCAGAAAATTTTATCTGTATTGTGGGGAAGGCGTTTGCTGTCTCTGACTTTTCTTCTGGGGAATCCATTTAGAAGGACAAACTAGATTGTGAAGTTGAGCTGGTCCAGAGAGCTCAGCTTCCGAATGTCAACAGAAAAAAAGAACACTTCTTTTCTCCTTGTGTGAACACGACTATATTGGCTGGGCAGGTTGTGTGTCTGTGTGTGAGCGCACGCATGCGTGATGAAATACACGTGCATGCATGTATATTTCATCAACACACACACTAAAGAACATGAATTACTTCCCAACTTCCTACCGAGGGCCAGGCCCTGTGCTAGGCATGGAAAGTACTGAGATGAATATATCTTAGCAACCCCATAACCAATTGGGATGACAGAAAGCCCTCTTTTTTCCCCCTAGAATTGTTCACTTGCTCTGTGTGTGTGTGTGCACATGTGTGTAAGTGCATGTGCACACACACTTTTCTTTGTTGCTGTAATATTGCCCATCAGTATGGTGACTACATGACTTAGTTAGCCTGGAATAGTCCTGGCTAATGCGTGTGCTCCCAGCGTACAAGTAATAAAGCCCTTTTAATTGTCAAAAATGACCCTGTTCAATTGATAAAATTTGGCTGATTCTTTGGAGTGTTTTGTTTGGCTCTGTAACAACTCGTTTATTAATTTTATAGCAGACTTTCTACTTGAACTCCATGGTATGACTAACATACATACCAAATACTCATTTGCAAATGTACAAATTAGTCCAGGAAAAAGAAAACGCGTTGAGGATAAGGGGGGTGCTCTGATTCAGCCACTCAGTTATTTTCAACTAGGGTTTTCTTGCAAGTAGTGACCACTTATTAAGGGTTGTTTGATTAGATTGAGTAGCTTTTGTTTCTTCAAATCAATTTATGGAACTAGAGACCCGCAACACCAGTGTATGGAAAAATCCACTTGTCAGCTTGCTAGGAAAGCAAAAACACAACACCAGTAACAATAAAATAATGAACACAACCGTGACACTGGTGGCTGGAGTGAGTTTTTACATTTCATCTGCTTTATGGTATCATGCCCTTAAAATCATGGGTTCCTGTCTCTAATATTCCCACAATTCTCCCCTGCAAGGTGGTTATCTATTTAGTGACATTTCAATGAAATTCCACTGCTTAACCTTTAACATTTGGATCTCTGCAAAGTTTTCTTATTCATTTGGTTGGTAATAGAAAGAGAGTGGAGCCTAGTGGATAAGACCGTGGATTCTCTCATCAAACAGACTGAGTTCATACGACTCTGCAATACTAGTTGTGTGGCCTTGGGCAAATTTCTTAACCTTAAAGCCTCAGTTTCCCCATCTGTGAAATGAAAATAATAATAGTTTCTGCTTCGTGTGGCTATTAGATGAAATGAAAATGTGTATCTGCAGCATTTAGCATAGCTCCTAGGAGACAGTAATTGCTCAACAAATATTCCTCATCTTCACCAACAGCAGCAGGAGCCTTTCGAGTTCCTGACTGCAGCTGCCTTATTCCTAACAAACCCCCTTCTCTCGTAATTCTCTTCCTGCCTCACAGGACGGACCTCCAATGCATGATCACTCCTTTTCCAAGCTTTATCCCTGGTGAATGGAAATAACAGCACCACCCTAGGGTTTCTCCCTGACACACCTGCCCTGAGGGGGCAGATCAGAGCTAATAAGGAAAATATTGCGTTGAGATCATGCAGGCCTTGCAAATCTAAGACTGAATCTCCCTTGCTTTGGGTACTTCCTTGGTTGCATTTTATCCACGAGGCTCTGAAAAGGCCAGGTGAAGAAAATGAGTGCATGGGCATAAATAGTCACATTCCTCAACTCCATTGATGGATATTTGCCCATTAATTCCCTTTGCACCCGCTCTCTCAGGCCTTCATTTTCCCTATGCAATTACTGGTCCTAAATCCTTTCAGAGAAGGGAAAGCATGCATCCCCAATAGCATTTTGCATCTACAAATCAAACATATAATTGGCATCTCATGACGGGTACCCACAAATCACAGGGCATTTGAAATTACAGGCACAAGATCGAGAGGGCATTTTCAGCCTTGTCTGAAAAGGTCTTCATAAACCTGTTTGAGAGTGATAGGATAGTCCCCAAATCTCCCATTCCAACACCATTTGCTATTATTTTAAACTCATTATATTTGCTGAGCTTACATAATTTTTCAGCTATCAATGGAAGATTTTATTTGTTACTCCATAATCTCTCTTCCTGCTGTGCAACTCCCAGCAAGTAAAAATGTTCTAACAAAAAGACACTGGCTATCAAAAATAAAGTGGCTGTGTATTAAAATTACTTCTGAGAACTCAAAAATGATTTATTAAGACGATTGTATGCCAATATATCCAAGTATCTTGGTAAACCTTACCATGGAGATGCCAAGGGTCGAGTCTTAGTTTTCTTATGAGCCAATCTCCTTCTCTGTAGAGATATGTCTTTAATAGGATTTGCATTTCAGTCCAGCTTTCCTGAAAATCATATATGTGAATTTAGTGACTGTCCCATTATAGGAGTATTAGAGTGATGTTCCTTAAACATGAAAATTATTAACTTGGGATTCTAGGCATTTATAAAGAATTATGACTCCCGCCAATTTAAAAAAAGGCATTAGACAACACAAAAGACACCATTTGGCTGTTTCCTGTTTCCATTGCTTGCAGTTCATAAAAGTGTAGATTAGATTGCTATTCAGCTCGGTATGGGGAAGCACTTAGTCTAAGCGGGGGCGACTGGGGAGGACTATGTAGCCTGTTTTGTTATTTCATCTCCCCCTCTTCTCTTGCAGGCTACGCCCAAGAGGAACAGCTGAAGGAAGAGGAGGAAATAAAAGAAGAGGAGGAGGAGGAGGAAGACAGCGGTTCAGTAGCTCAGCTTCAGGGCAGCAATGACCCAGGGACGGACGAGGAGCTAGAAACGGGCCCAGAGCAGAAAGGCTGCTTCAGCTACCAGAACTCTCCAGGAAGTCATTTGTCCAATCAGGATGCGGAGAATGAGTCTCTGCTGAGCGATGCTAGTGATCAGGTGTCAGACGTCAAGAGCGTCTGCGGTCGACATGCCTCAGACAAGAAAGCAAGCGTGCACCCCAAACTTCCCAACGAAGCCCACAATTGCATGGATAAAATGACTGCTGTCTATGCCAACATCTTGTCTGATTCCTACTGGTCGGGCCTTGGTCTCGGTTTCAAGCTGTCCAACAGCGAGAGGCGGAATTGTGACACCCGAAATGGCAGCAACAGGACTGATTTTGACTGGCACCAAGACGCTCTGTCTAAAAGCCTGCAGCAGAACTTGCCTTCCAGATCCGTGTCGAAGCCCAGCCTGTTCAGCTCGGTCCAGTTGTACCGGCAGAGTAGTAAGATGTGCGGGACTGTGTTCACGGGGGCCAGCAGATTCCGGTGCCGGCAGTGCAGTGCTGCCTATGACACCTTGGTCGAGTTGACTGTGCACATGAACGAAACGGGCCACTATCAAGATGACAACCGCAAAAAGGACAAGCTTAGACCCACGAGCTATTCAAAGCCCCGGAAAAGGGCTTTCCAGGATATGGACAAGGAGGATGCTCAAAAGGTTCTGAAATGTATGTTTTGTGGCGACTCCTTCGATTCCCTCCAAGATTTGAGCGTCCACATGATAAAAACAAAACATTACCAAAAAGTGCCTTTGAAGGAGCCAGTACCAACCATTTCATCGAAAATGGTCACTCCAGCAAAGAAACGCGTCTTTGATGTCAATCGGCCGTGTTCCCCCGATTCAACCACGGGCTCATTTGCAGATTCGTTTTCTTCTCAGAAGAATGCCAACTTGCATTTGTCCTCCAACAACCGCTATGGCTACCAAAACGGCGCCAGCTACACTTGGCAGTTTGAGGCCTGCAAGTCCCAGATCTTAAAGTGTATGGAGTGTGGGAGCTCGCACGACACCTTGCAGCAGCTCACCACCCACATGATGGTCACGGGTCACTTTCTCAAGGTCACCAGCTCTGCCTCCAAGAAAGGGAAGCAGCTGGTGTTAGACCCACTGGCTGTGGAGAAAATGCAGTCATTATCAGACACCCCAAACAGTGATTCTTTGACTCCCAAGCCATCAAGCAATTCAGCTTCTGACTGTACAGCCTCTACAACTGAATTAAAGAAAGAGAGCAAAAAAGAAAAACCAGACGAAATCAACAAGGATGAGAAAATCCTGAAAAGTGAGGAATACGAAGACCCTCTACAAAAACCTTTAGACCCTACAATAAAATATCAATATCTAAGGGAGGAGGACTTGGAAGATGGCGCAAAGGGTGGAGGGGACATTTTGAAGTCGTTGGAAAATACTGTAACCACAGCCATCAACAAAGCCCAAAATGGGGCTCCCAGCTGGAGCGCCTACCCCAGCATCCACGCAGCCTACCAGCTGTCGGAGGGCCCCAAGCCGTCTTTGCCCATGGGGTCCCAGGTCCTGCAGATTCGGCCTAATCTCTCCAACAAGTTAAGGCCAATTGCACCGAAGTGGAAAGTCATGCCACTGGTTTCTGTGCCCACAAACCTGGCCCCATACACTCAAGTTAAGAAGGAGCCAGAAGACAAGGATGAAGTCGTGAAGGAGTGTGGGAAAGAAAGTCCCCAGGAAGAGGCATCGTGTTTCAGCTACAATGAGGGGGATTCTCTCTCCAAAAGCGAAACCCCTGTAGAATCCAAAAAGGCTGAGCCCTGTCCCCCGAAGGAGGAGGACAAGCTGATGAAAGAGGGCGGGGAGAAAGAGAAACCCCAGCCCTTGGAGACAGCGTCTTCTCTTAGCAATGGATGCGCCCTTGCCAACCACGTTTCGGCCCTGCCGTGCGTCAACCCGCTCAGCGCCCTGCAGTCCGTCTTGAACAATCACCTGGGCAAAGCCACCGAAGCCCTGCGCGCTCCTTCCTGCTCCAGCCCAAGCTCAAGCACAATTTCTATGTTTCACAAGTCGAATCTCAGTGTCATGGACAAGCCGGTTTTGAGTCCTGCCTCCGCAAGGCCAGCCAGCGTGTCTAGGCGCTACCTGTTTGACAACAGCGATCAGCCCATCGACCTGACCAAGTCCAAAAGCAAGAAAGCCGAGTCCGCGCAAGCACAATCCTGTACGTCCCCGCCTCAGAAGCACGCTCTGTCTGACATCGCCGATATGGTCAAAGTCCTCCCCAAAGCCACCACCCCAAAGCCCGCCGCCTCCTCGAGGGTCCCTCCCCTGAAGCTGGAGATGGATGTCAGGCGCTTTGAGGATGTCTCCAGCGAAGTCTCGACTTTGCATAAAAGAAAAGGCCGGCAGTCCAACTGGAACCCTCAGCATCTTCTGATCTTGCAAGCGCAGTTTGCCTCGAGCCTCTTCCAGACATCGGAGGGCAAATACCTGCTGTCGGATCTGGGCCCACAAGAGCGAATGCAAATCTCCAAGTTTACGGGACTCTCGATGACCACTATCAGCCACTGGCTGGCGAACGTCAAGTACCAACTTAGGAAAACGGGCGGGACAAAATTTCTGAAAAACATGGACAAGGGACACCCTATCTTTTATTGCAGTGACTGTGCCTCCCAGTTCAGAACCCCTTCTACCTACATCAGCCACTTAGAATCTCACCTAGGTTTCCAAATGAAGGACATGACCCGCATGGCCGTGGAACAGCAAAGCAAGGTGGAGCAGGAGATCTCCCGGGTGTCGTCGGCTCAGAGGTCTCCGGAAACAATAGCTGGCGAAGAGGACACAGACTCTAAGTTCAAGTGTAAGTTGTGCTGTCGGACATTTGTGAGCAAACACGCAGTAAAACTCCACCTAAGCAAAACGCACAGCAAGTCACCCGAACACCATTCACAGTTTGTAACAGACGTGGATGAAGAATAGCCTGCAGGTATGGGTTTGCTCCCAGGTGATTGTGACAGTGGCCTTGTGAGGAGCTTCTGGAAGGGAGATGGGTCTGTTTAGAGACAGCTAATGTCTCCCAATACCAAGAGGACAGTAGCCTGCTGGAATAGGACTTATTTTTATGAACGACTAGAACATGATAAATAAGTCCTAACCATTCTCTCAATTTCTCCAGTTTAGTGTTGGGAAATAGAATACAATGGGTTTAGAGAGATGGAGTTCACAGATTACTGCTTCATGACACATGATCCCTTTAGTTACCCAAGGCCCAACTTCAAGGTCCAGCCAAGGCTACACCTCATTTTAATTAATAAGGACTAACTTCTCTCCTTGTCCCATTTCACCACCTCACCTTCCCATAGCAATGCTAATGACTTACAAAGTGATTAAAAAAAAAAAAAAAAGGTGAGCAACAGAATAAAGATTGTAGAGTTCCTGGGGGCAGCTGCTGTACAGAGATTTCTTAATCAGCTCATGAATAGCTTAAAGTTGTCTTGATCATTATTACTTGTAATTAATGTTTTTTGCAGCTTCCTTTCAAGCAATTGCTACCTTCCACTCCCTTCCCTTTGTTTATTTCCTCCCTTAGAGTTTCTATGAAAGAGCATCTACCCTGTAGTCAGATGGTAGAAAAATATTCTCTGTAGAACATTGAGATGAAAAGAGAAGAAGCTTATTTTCTTCTCATCTTTTGGTTTTCCTTAGGATAGACTAATATCAGAGTCCGCCTCTAACAAAGAGAGATGCAATGCATGCCCTTGAGATTTTATTTTACATAAAGAAACAAATGACTTTCTGCGCCCCCATTGCCAATGCCCATGGGGTCCCACAGCTTCAAGGTGATTTGCATCACGTATCATAGAAGTTCTATGCCTTGTAGAGTCACTGGTGCCCAGACTATCTATGTCATCTCCAGGAAAGAGGACAGAGACCAAGGTCACATACCTTAGCAGACTAGTCACACCGGCCACTTTCAAATGTTAAACATAAGCAAGTCTGGGTCTCAACAAATCCGTTTCATCTCCTTTTTTGTATTTTCTCTACTTCCTTTTTTCTGCCCTCCAGCATGATACCCCCCACATGCTAGGAACCCCCTCACATATTCAGGTTGTCCTCCATCTCTGGCCACATCCCGGGATGAAAACCCAACCTGACTTAAGCCTTCGGCACTTGCCAGTTCTGTTTATATCATGTTAGGTTACAGATTAGCTCTTTCGGTTAATTCACAATAAGATATGAACAGCTAGTAATAACTTAATGCATAAGCCCTCATCATCCCCTATTGTGAAAGCATTTGTTTTTAAATAGGAGACTTTCAGATCAAGCCCCAAAGGTATAGGCACTAGCAGAGTTCCAGGTGGAGAGGGGGATTTACACGGTGTGGCTCTGGGCTCACTTCCTGTCAGGTGGGGGCATTCGCTGAGGGTGAGGACGGTCAAAATGAAATAAAGGGTTAAAAAATCTGATCTGGGACTTTTCCCTCAGTGAGAAGATCTAAGAGCTTCCGGTGAAGGAGGACACCATCCTATAACTTTAATGGCTATCTGGGCCCAAATGAAGACTATTGTTTTGTTTGCATGTTTTTATCATAATGATTAAAATGTGTTACTGGCCGATTCATCTCTTGCTTTCCAAGCATGATTTGTTCAGCTCACATTCTTGGAAAAAAAGCCAAAATGCATCTATTGAATCTATCGGTGAGCTTGGGGCTTGGCAACATCCTATTTATTTGCTATATAACAGTTTAAATTTATGTAACTTGCTATTTGCTTTTCTGGTCCTTCAAACAAAAGGTGGATATACACATCTACCCAGAGAGAAGAGAGATATTTCCAGTCCTGTAGTGGTAGGTCCAAACCGTGGTGAAAAGGACAAATAAGTAATGTTTGTTTGTGCTACAATAAAGACCAACTTTCCATCTGTTAGGTTTGTAATCATTTTTTTAAAAAAATTAATATCACTGTCAAAACATTGTGATATGTAAATAGAGAGGAGAGAAAAAGAAAGCCTTAGTCAAAATCTGAAACGTACATACCCGTTTGAGGGAAGCACAGGTAAACCAATAATTTGGAAAAACCTACGCAAAAGATCCTTACAAATCTGTTATATACATAGATAGGATAGCTTTTTTCTCTTCTCTCTGCATTTGTACAGAATAAATATTTCTGATTTGGAGCTTTGAAGCACCATATTACAGACTTATCATTATGTGAAACTAAAGCTCCTTCCTTATATAAACACCATGATGCTGTGATTCTGAGAGAGGATTGCAGAAAAACAGGTTTAAGTATTTGAGACTCGTTCAAAGCGATGGGAGTGTACGTGAGTTGTGTGTATACAAAAAACGGTGCGGGTACTTGGTGTGTTTGTGTTAATACTAAAGATACTCCAGTCTGCCTGAACGGCTCCCACATCTGCCCAAAGGTGGCTTTCTGATGCTTTGGTCCCCTCGGGAAGAATTCCTCCACCCTTAGAACAACATTCATGCAATACCTTGCCCACTGCTTAGGATCATGCATATACGTTTTTAAATGATCACAGAATGAGATCACTGTTATCTAGAACTCTAATTTTAGTTGGTATGCATGATAGCACAAAATGACATACATTTTAGAAAGCATGGTCAAGATCTTATCGAAAATTTGGGAGCTTTACCATATCTACATTCTCTGTAAGACGCAAATTTTGACCTGAATTTTCTTTCCTTTCTTGGATATGTCTTAAAGCCTGCAAAATGCTCTGCCAAATATGAAATGCAACTTCTCGTTAAAAATTAATTAGAAAATATTAAATGTGTGTCCCTATTCTCGGACATAAGTGACCTAAAACAATTTCAGTAGGTATTTGTATATACCGTTAAAAACGACATGTTCTTGAATAATAGAAATTAAACAAAGAGCAAATCAATGAGTCTAAAATACATAAGGATTTGAAATTACAGTTATTACCATGTAATATAGTGTACAAGTTTAGCAGCACACCTAGCCTTGAAATCGTTGGCGGAAATGAATTCTAGTCCAAATAAGCCACCACCTTTGTTGTAGGTGATTTGATAAAAACACATGTTCAGGGTGAACAGCATGTAAGGTTGCCAGATAAAATACAGGCTATACAAGATGGCTGGTTAAATTTGAATTTCAGATAAATTTTTAAAATAAGTATGTCCCAAATATTACAAGGGCCATATTTACACTAAAAAAGTATTCATTACCTGAGATTCAAATTTAACTAGGAATTCTGTATTTTTTTTTTTTTTTTTTTTTTTTGCTAAATCTAGCAGTCCTAACAACATGGATTATATGGCAGTCTGGGGAGAGCAAAATGGGCTGGACCAATTAATATCTATAAGAGGCATCAACCCATCCTTCATCCATTGAATAAATATCCTTCCCTTCCTTCCTCCCCCTCTTCCTTCCTTCCTTTCTTCTTTTCTTCCTTCTTGTCTTCCCTCCCTACACTTCTTTCATCCTTCACAAATATCGGTTGTGCTTCCACTATGCACCAGACTCTATTTAGCAATGGAAATATAATGGTGAACCAGCAGTCATGCTGATTATACTAGCCAAATGTGACGGGTCTGCAGCAAGCACTTCACAAACTATTTCACTTTATTCTCACAAACAGCCCTATGAGATAGGGTTTGATCCAACTATGTTACAGGGGAGAAAAAGGAGGCAGAGAGATTCTGTGTGAATTTCCCAAGTTCCCATAATCTCTAAACCTCATTCGTTCATTATCACCCATCTAGAAAGCCACCACTCCATGCCAAGCACTGTGCTAATCCCAGGGAATAAACCAGTGACCAGGACAAGAGTCTGCCTTTGAGGCTAGTGGCAGACACATAGATGGGCAGCTCTGGGGTAAAGGCTGAATGGACCACAGAGGAGGGGCGTCTACCCAGTCCCGGGGGAAGCTGACGAGGGGAATGGTGGTCTCGGAGACAGTGTGATGTTAGAGGAAGAACTCTGGCTGCCGAGGCCCTCGGGCCTGGCTTCAAACCCCAACTCATCCACTCTTTCTAAGATGTACCCCACTTCTGTGTCTATAAAATATGGACACAATTCTCCCCTTACAGGAAAGTTGTGAGAATTAAATAAATGTATGCAATTCTTTTCCATAAAGCCTGGCACATAGTAGGTTCATAAGAAAAGATAGTTCTAGACAGTCTCTACAGGCCCCTACCGTGTCCTTCAGCCTCACCTGAAGTGTAGAGAACCTGTAGAGTCTTCCCTGGTTGAGCTCATGAATACCTAAGCAGGTGTCCCCATGGAAACCTCAACCCGCTATTTGATTCTAATGACAGCAAGGACAGCAAAGCTACCACGTACTGGCCTCTTCCTATGAGCCAGGCGTGATTATTCATATCATCCTCACTTTGCAAAGAGCTCAAGGAGTTTCATGATCTGTCCAAGAACATACAGTAAGCGTAGAGGTGGGATTCGAACCCAGGACCACCCAACACTCATCAACTTTCTTCCGCCTCTTGGCTTCTCCTCCACCTTGCCAAATGGTTTCTAGATGCTACTTAAGGCCAGGCATACGTCCATCTTACAGAGAAAAGGCTGTAAAACGTGGCATAAGAGTTGAGAGATGAGCAAGGGTTCTCCTGGGCCTCTTGGAAGCTCCAGCTGCAAACCAAATATTGCAACTCAGGGACCTGGGACTGACCTGCGGGATGAAGCAAAGCATCCTCAGTCTCTTGATTATAATTTCCTTGTTCAGTCAGCTAACTATACATTTACCATATAGAGTCTAACCATGAAACAACCCAAACTGCACTGAAAATATATACGTAAGAATTTTTATAATTCCTCATCCCAGCTCTCATTTTGGAGAAGCAAAATGAGAATTCAGAAACAGGGTCAGCTACGAGGCTACAGCATTTTTAATGCAGCAAGAAAGAAATGTGTCATCTCTTTTAACGTTTTCATTTTATCCAAGTGATCTGCCTTAACTCTCCTTGTGCATCGACACATCTCCATCTCC